AAGAGCATGAGAGGGAGGAAGGTCAGAGGGAGAAGCAGACTCCCTGCTGTGCAGGGAGCCTGATGTGGGACTCGATCCTGGGACTCCAGGATCATGACCTGAGCCGAAGGCAGTCGCTTAACCAACTGAGCCACCCAGGCGCCCAATAAATAAAATTCTTTAAAAAAAAAAAGTGCTTCTGGCAGTTTCCACTTAAGATCACTTGATACCACTTAAGCTTTGATTCCATTTGATTTGATTCCTATTTTCTCCAAATCAGCCCTATCCAATCAAAATATAATATGAGCCAAATATTGGGGTGCCTGGGTGGCTCAGTCGGTTAAGCGCGTCTGCCTTGGACTGAGGTCATGATCTCCAGATCCTGGGATCAAGCCCCACATCAGGCTTCCTGCTCAACAGTGAGTCTGCTTCCCTCTCTCTCTCTCTCCCTCTGCCCCTCTCCACCACTCATTCTCTCTCTCTCTCAAATAAATAAATAAAATCTTAAAAAAATATATGAGCCAAATATGTAATTTAAAATTTTCTAGTAGCCAAGTTTAAAAAAAAAAGAGTGGGAAGCAAGTGAAATTTTAGTTTTAGTGATGTTTTTATTTTAACCCAACATGCCCAAATTATGATCATTCCAACATGTGATCAGTATACAATTAATAATAAGATAGCTTACATTCTTTTATACCAGGTCTTCAAAGTCTAGTCAGTATTCTACCCCTACAGCAGCGTCCCTATCTAAACGCTAAATTTTCATCAGAAATAATTGCTTTCTACGCAGCCTATAAAACTTCAACTTGAAAAAGTAGATTCACGTACCCAGATTGTTCCAAATGTACTTAAAACCTTTTCAACAACTGAATCGAGATCCAGTGTTTACATTTAAATTAGGTAAAATTGAATAAAAGTTAAAAGCCAGTTCCTCAACTACACCCGCCATGTTTCAAGTGCTCAGTAACCACCCATGGCTGGTGGTGGTTGTATTGGATGAAGCAGATCTAAATCCGCCAGGCAGGAAATGTCTCAGTCACTTCTGGGGTTCCCTATCCTCCTCTGCAAAGTGGTGACAGATAACTCAACTTGGCTGGTGCTAGAAAAATGGTGAAAGTCCAGGCCTTTGGTGCCCAGGGGCACCATCTTAATTTCTGTTCCTTTGATGTTTGCTGAGGTCCCTCTCAAACCCTGTTGCTGCAGAAGGACCAGGAGATGCACCCCCCCATTGGTGGTCTCCACACCCACAGCCATCCTCCCATCATACATGTGGTCAGGATACATTTTCTGTGGCTCCCCAGGCTGGAGTAAGCTAAACTCTCTCTCTCCAGTAAAACCCCCTCTCTCCATTCTCCCCCATTCCAGGCAGACCCCAGGATTGGCCAGCTCAGTGCTGGCCTCTCGCTTGCCTGGGACAGGAACAAACAAGGGAGATGTCCACATGAGGCTTTGTGGGGTTTTTCGTACTGAATCCCCCATTGCTTTTTTTTTTTTTAAAGCTTTTATTTATTTGACAGAGAAAGAGAGAGAGCACAAGTAGGGGGAGGGGCAGGCAGAGGGAGAGGGAGAAGCAGACTCTCCCCTGAGCAGACAGCCAGATGTGGGGCTCCATCCCAGGACACTGAGATCAGGACCTGAGCCAAAAGCAGACACTTATCAGACTGAGCCACCCAGGTGCCCCTCCCCATTGCTCTTAATAAAGAAGAAAAACACTTCACTTCTCTTCAGGTAATATAATCTGCCCCAATGTAGATTTAGTTATTAAGTGAGACAGGGGTTGGGGTCATTTGGCAGGAGCTACATCCTCTGGGAATAGACCTAAGCGGGCAGGAGTGGGAGTGGAAAGGGTCTGGAGAGGGAGAGAGGAGCTGAGGTGGGTGACCTGCTAGGTCTGAATTGTTTCCGAGGTGCCGCCTGGAGGGCCTGCAGGTGAACTGAGAGCCAGAGGGGACTCGTGAACGGGGTGCCACTTCTGCAGAATGGGGCCTAGGGACTGGGGTGGGGTAGGCTGGGTGGAAATTCACACTCCCTTTTGTCTGCGTTTTTAAAATGACTACTAGGATGCATGGTGATTTCTCCATCTGTGTCCCTATCTATCTGTCTCTGTCTCATTTTCGGTCTCTGGCTCTCGTCTCTGTCTCTCTCTCTGCCTTTATCTCTTCCTCCTGTTCTCTCCCCCTGTCTCTGTTCCTCTCCATCCCATCAGCTCTGTGATTTTATTTCTCTCTCTGCTCATCTCTGTCTCTTTTTGTCTCTGCCTCTGTCCACCCCCCACCCCAGCCTGAGCTCTGAGCCAGGGAGCCCCATTCCCCGGCCCACACTCCAAACCATTCCCACCTGCCAGGCCAGAAGCATCTCCATGGAGTAACTCTCCCACAGCTCTGTCCTGGACCCATCCCCAAATAAGTGGGTCACTTCCGTCTGACCTTGGGCAGGACAGGGCATAGGAGAGGCCATGAAACAGGGACAGAGTCATGACGTCTACTTTCTTCTCTTTTCTTTCAGCTGCCCAGCCCTGGGCCCCAGCACTGGCCCCAACCTGCCTCCTGCCACTGTCCAGACCTTAGTCATGTCTGGGCGGTTGTGAGACCTGAGCCCCCCTGCACCCCCGCCCCTCCTCCTTGCCTCCTCTGTCCTTGTGGTCAGAGCTGCTGGTCCCAGGACCAGGGCAGGGTTGGGGGTCTGTGTGCCACCAGGAGGCTGAATGCAGGCAGATAAATGGAGACAGATCTAGAGAACCAGAGTGGCACTAAGAGACAGCAACAGACAGAGACAGGGTCAGAAAGACAGAGATGAGGCCAGAGAGAGGCAGAGAGAAGCACAGACATTTATGCTTCATCATCATGGTCATCTGTCACCCAACCCCTCATCAGAGCCGTCCACACCTGCTCCTTAGGTGATCTCACCCAACCCCATGGCTCTAAACACCACCTCTCCCCTATGACTCCCCACTGCTTCTCAGCAGCTCTGACCTCTGCCTGCACCTCTGCCTGCCCATGCACCCAACCGCTTGGCTCCTGACAGGCATCCCCAGCTCAGCCCTTGCCCCCACATCTCCTTACGTGCTTCCACAAATGGTCAGCCCAAGCCTCTGAGGCACCATTCTCGCCTCCTTTCCCCTCCCCCTGCCACTTTCCTCCCCTTGGTGAGTATGTCGGTTCTACCTCCAAAGTGAGCCCTTCGTCCGTTCATTCCTCTTCTTCCTGGACCACAGCATCGCCCACCTGGGCTGTTGCCACCTCCCACCTCCGTGTTGGTCTCCGCTCCCTTCTCATTCTCCACACAGGATGTCTCTTAAAAGTAAATAAGATCATGTTACTCCCCCTACCCCTGTCCTTAAAATCCATTGCACATAAATAAACCCAAACTTCTTCCCCAGCACGGAAACCCCTGCACAATCTGCCCTGTTCCTTCTCCTTGCTCTGCCTTGCACACACCGAGTTCTCCCTTTTTCCTGCAAGGCTCACATGGCATGGTGGCTGTCAGCCTAAATGTCCCCTCCTCTGACTCCCCAACCACCCCCTTGTCTGCAGAAAGCCCCCTGCCCCGGTCATTCTACCATCACCTGGGTTCTCTGCACACAGGTGACTACCAGATATTTCCTTTTAGTTTTTCTGTTTGTCTGTCTCCCCCACTGGGATGTGAGCTCCATGAGCGCTAGAATTTCCTTGTTGCTTCCTGCATCTCAAGTGCAGACAGCAGAGCTCAGAGCAAGGCAGGTGCGCAATTGCTCTTTACTGAGCAAGGGCTTCGTCGTGCTCCCACTGACTGGGCACCTACTACATGCTTGGCACTGTACCAAGGCACTTTCTCTGCCTTCTCTTTTTGGATAGATATTTTGGGAGTGAGGAACAATAGTTCCCTGACTTTACAGATGGGAAAATGGAGCCTCAGAGGGATGCCGTTCCCAAGATAGACCATGATGCCGTCTGGATTTGAACCTGGGAAGGTTTGCTGCGGAAACATAGTAGGGAGACAGAGGGAGGGAGGGAGAATGAGAGATTTAATAAGAGAGAAAATAAGAGAACATAAGAGAGAGAAAATGAAAGGAAAAGAGAGAATAAGAACACGAGGGAATGAGAGAGCGAGAACCAAGAAACAAGTGGGACCCTGGGTCCAGGTTGTCCTTGCTGGCTCACTGCTCCCGGCACCTCTGGCCCCCTGACGGCAGCCTGGCACAGCTGGAAACTGGCAGCACCTGACCGCAGGAATGTGTCCCTGGGGGCAGGCCGGCCCAGCGGGGGATGCTTATAAGTCCCACAGGGGCCCCTGCAGGAAGCAGCCTGTGGGAGAGCAGCCCAGTGCAGGATCCCAGAGCCCGGAGGCAGCCAGGTGAGTGTCCCTGTGGTCTCCGCCCCGCCCACCGCCCCAAGAGCGAAGTCTCCCACAACTCCACGCCACTGTGAATCTCAGCCTCGGGACCCTGTGCCTCCATGTCTCCTCCCCAGAGAGGTCTCTCACTCTCTCTCTGGTTAAGAGTGTCTCTTCCTTTCTCTCTCCGGCTCCCCTAGTCTCTCTGTTTCTCTGATGTCTCTGTCCATGACTCTGGCTCTCCCTCTGTCTCTGGTTATCTCTTGCAAGTGCTGTCTCAGTCCCCTCCGATCCGCACCCCCCCGTCTCCATGCTCCTTCTCTCCCAGTTTAGAGATAGAATGACACTTCCTCCATACCTTCCTGTCCATCTAATTCTCTCTCTTTCCGCTTCTCTCTCCCTCTCCCTTTATCTCTCACTCCAAATCTCTCTAGGCTCTGTGGCTCTGGGCGAGGATCTCAGACCTACGACGTGTGTGTTGGGGTGCAGGGGTGGCATAGGACCTTGTCTGACCAACACTATCCTAGGGGGACAGGAAGAGAGGGAGACAGAGATGGAGGGAGAGATTTGAGCTCTAGGTCCCCCCAGACTCATCACCCTCGTGTGCAGGTGCTGACGGCATGACCACAGCAGGAAACCCCTGGGGCTGTTTCCTGGGGTACCTCATCCTCGGGGTCACAGGTATCTGAGTGTGTGTGTGTGTGTGTGACTGTCTGTGCCTTGGGGCACCGTGTCTGTTCCTGCGCAGCCATGACTCAGTGTCCTCCTAGGTATGACTAAAGCTGCCTGTGTGACCTACCACGTGCCGTGCTCTCTGGTTACACACACGTGATTCCTCGTATCATAGGGAGCTTGTGCGTGTGCTGCCGATGCATTGTGTGTGTGGCTTTGCACGCCTCTGTGTGTGACACATTGTGATGAGCTGTGTGGTCGAACCGGTGAGAGGGGGTGCGTTACTGGCCGAAGGATTCTGGCGGTCTGTGCCTGTACATATCCCGGGGAGTGACAACGACGGCGGATGATGCTGTGAGGACGTGGGAAGCCCAGGGTGCCGCTAACAGGGAGACTGTGCGTCTGGAGGAGTCACCCATTTCGGGTAATATGTGCCTACTTCCTGAGTCTCTGATCCACGGACCCCCAGAGACCCACGTCACGGGGCGACGTGATGCGGTTTCCCTGTGGGCCGGCTTGTTGCTGGGGGGACTGTGGAGGAGGCTGAGCCGGGGAAGGCGGGACACTGAAGGCCACAAAGAGCGACACTGTTTCCCTGAGCGTCTGGCTGTCACCCTGGTCTCTGCACCCTGTTTGAGGGTTTCTGCCTGTTCTGGGGGACTGTGGCCCGGGTAGTACACGAGCCTGGCGTGGTGCGTGCGTGCGTGTGTGCGTGTGTTTGTGTGTTGAGGGAGGGAGGGAGGGAGAGACAGACGGAGAGAGATAGCAAATGGATCTTGGAGATGGGTGTGGCTGGCTCAAAGCTGCACCTCCCCTCTCGACAAGAGATCCCTTTCCTCTACTCTGATCTCCCATCCCACCCCAAGAAAGCTGATCTGGTCCGTAAAAGCCCTGCACCAGGACCCCGCCCCCAGGAGCCTGGTCCCACCTCCCGAGCCTAACTCGGCATCCCTGACTCCGCCCCCAGGAGCCCTGACTCCACCCATGAGGCCTTGGTCACGCCCCCGCACCACAGCCTCCCCCGACGCACTGGTCACGCCCCCTGCACCGTGAACCCCCTCAGGCCCCGCCCTCAGGAGCCCTAGTCCTGCTTTTTGAGCCTGCCCCCCATCCTAGCCCACGCCCCTGCACCGATCCCTGCCCTTAGGAGCCCTGGTTCCACCCAGAGACCATCCCCAGACCTGACTACGCCCCTGAAGCCCTAACCACGCCCTTAGCCCGTGGCCACGCCCCCAGGAGCCTTGTTCCGCCCCGAGCCCGCCCCTAGCCCTGACCCGCCCTCAGGATCCTTGGCCTCGGCTGGCGGCGGCGACATCATCAACGGCGAGGACTGCAGCCCGCACTCGCAGCCCTGGCAGGCGGCACTGTTCACGGCAAACGAATTCTTCTGCGGGGGCGTCCTGGTGCATCCGCAGTGGGTGCTGTCCGCGGCACACTGTTTCCAGGAGTGAGTGCGGGGCGGGGTGGGGCGGAGGCGGAGCCTGGGGCGGGGGAGGGGAGGAGCTCGGGACCTGGATGTCCCGGTAGCCGGGGGCGGGGCCTAATATCAGGCTCCGCCTCCGTGCTAAGAGTGGAAACCTCTGTGAAGAGAGGCTCTGCGAGGGAAGTGGGGGCTGTTGCTTTGGAAAGACAGCCCGGGGTCGAAATCCCATCTCAGTGGCCGAGTCACTAGTGGATTAAGACAAATTCTTTTTTTTTTTTTTTTTAAGATTTTTATTTATTTATTTGACAGAGAGAGAGAAACACAGCGAGAGAGGGAATACAAGCAGGGGGAGTGGGAGAGGGAGAAGCAGGCTTCCTGCCGAGCAGGGAGCCCGATGTGGGACTCGATCCCAGGACCCTGGGATCGTGACCTGAGCTGAAGGCAGACGCTTAACGACTGAGCCACCCAGGCGCCCAAAACAAATTCTTGTTGCTGGATTATTGATTGTGTGAATGAGGATTTGAGAGCATGGCTGGGTAGCTCTTGGCGCCGTGCTTAGCGAGGAGGATGGGGTTGGGGTAAGTGGGTGGAGATGGGGTTGTGCCTGAGGGTGACAATGGAGGATGGGGTTGGGGTAAATGGGTGGAGATGGGGTTGTGCCTGAGGGTCACAATGGAGATAGTGGTGGAGTTGCCACAAAACTAACCCGTCCCCCGTGGCCCTCAGCTCCTACACAATCGGGCTGGGACTGCACAGTCTTGGGGCCAACCAAGAGCCAGGCAGCCAGATGATGGAGGCCAGCTTCTCCATACAGCACCCAGAGTACAACAAACCCTTTATCGCCAACGACCTCATGCTCATCAAGTTGAAAGAATCGGTGTCCCGGTCTGACACCATCCGGAACATCAGCATCGCCTCCCAGTGCCCAGCAGCTGGGGATTCTTGCCTCGTTTCTGGCTGGGGTCAGCTGATTGATGGTGAGCTCCTGAGTGTGAGTACGTCCGCCCTCCCTGAAGGGTTCTCCTCCCAGCCAGAGGGGGCTGACCCAGACTCTGCGTCGCAGGCAGGCAGCCCCCAGTGCTCCAGTGCGTGAATATCTCGGTGGTGCCCGAGGAGATCTGCAATGCCTTCTATGCCCCCGTGTACCACCACAGCATGTTCTGCGCTGGCGGAGGACAGGACCGGAAGGACTCCTGCAAAGTGAGAGACGGGGAGGGGAGAGGGAGGGAGGAGGAGACGGCGGGGCCAGGGGATGGAGAAGGGAGGGATGGGCATGCGGGAGGAAACAGACACGGGAAGATAGAGAGATGGAGAAACAGAGTCATAGACACGAGCGCGCGCACACACATAGAAATACCTCAGGGAGAAACAGAGGGAGACTCCTAGAGATGAAACGCAAAGAGAAATGGGGGGAAAAACAGAATATACCAAGAAATGCAGAGAGGCATGGAGACTTTGGGAGTCAGAGACAGAGAAACAAGCCATAGGGGGTGATAAAACAAAAAGAGAGAGGCAGAATAACAACAACCCAGGAGAATCAAACAGCTGCTGGGACCTAGGGGAGTAGAATTCCCTACAGTCTGGGCACTGGATGGGACCTCAAAGGTGTGCCTTGCTATCTTTTATTTCCCTGTCTTTGTCTCTTGGTGTCTTTTGGTTCCTTTCTGATCTCAATCTGTCTCCACCCTCTCTGTGTTTTGGATTCTCTCCATTCCTCTCTCCAAAACCAGGGTGACTCTGGGGGCCCCCTGGTCTGCAACGGGTCCCTGCAGGGTCTCGTGTCTTTTGGACAAGCCCAGTGTGGCCTACCCTACGTGCCAGGCGTCTACACCAACCTCTGCAAGTTCACTGACTGGATACAGAAAACCATCCAGGACAGTTAACTCCTGGAACTTGGACCCAAGAAACCGAGCCCCCAATATATGTTGTGGAAGGGATTCAGGACCCTGGGTGTCCAGTGCTTTCCTCCCTGAGACCCAGGAGTCTAGACCCCCAACCCCCTCCTCCCTCAGCCCCAGGAATCCAATCCCACCAAGAATCTTTTCCTGTACAAAGTGCCCCCTGGTGGCAAAATGTTGGCCCAGCCTTACCAGTAGCAGAGAAGGTTGGTTTTTCACCTTCTTGTTCCCTTATCTCAAGCCCAGAAATAAAATCTAAGAGAAACACAGGCTCTGTTTGAACTGTCGTCCTTGCTTCCATTCCCATTCACAGGATTCCAGCAAATAACTTTTCCTCCTTGGGCCTTAGTTTCCCCCAGGAGGGCCACTGGATTCCCAAGGGAGGAGATATGCTTGAGACGTTAAGAGAAATTGATTCTGTGGATGTTGTCCAATTTCAAAAAAGTCAAGTCAGCAAATGACAAATTAATGAGGTTTTCTTGCTTAGTTTTCTTTTTCTTTTTTCTTTTTTTTTGCTTTGGTTAACCTGTTTTGGTTTTGTCTTCTTAAATGCGTTTGAAGGATTTTTCATCTGAATCTGCCTCAGAGCCCTCCTGCTGTCACTGAGGCATGGTGGGAAGAATCATGGAGAAATATGGAGACTGAGGGCAGAGATGGGGGGACACTGAGGGCCCAAGAATATTCGGAATTGTTATCATACTCTTCACTGATAAAGTATATCCATAAGAATATACTGCTAAGAATGTCTATTCAAGAATATATTAATAAATATATTATTTGGGAATCTGGTCATCGGGAGATACTCCTCAAAATACATAAAGTAAGAAGTGAAATAACTAAAAGTGAAATACTATAAATGGTACAACTGTTTTGGAAAACAGTTTGGCCATTTCTGAGAAAGATGAGCATACATTTGTCCCACGGCCAGCAGGTCCACCCCTAGGTATTTATGTAAGAGCAATGAAAAAAAAAAAAATAGACTAGCCAAGAATGCTCATAGAAACTTTCCTCATAATAGCCAGATTGGAAACAATCCAGATGTCCGTACATGGGTGAAAGGACAAACTATGACATATTCATTCAATGGAACCCTACTCAGTAATAAAAAGAAATGAATTGTTGATAGACCCACCAATGGAGGTGCATCTCAAAATCGTTATGGTGAGTGAAAGAAGCCAGACACACAATATTACACACTGTATGGTTCCTTTTTTATGTGAAATTCTAGAACAGACAAAACTAATCATGGGATGGGAAGGAGGAGTAGATGTGGCAACGATGGGAAGTAACGTAAGAGAACTTTTCTGAGGTGATAGGAACCTTCTAGAACTTGACAGGAGTGTGGGTTACGGGGGTCATGCATTCATCAAAACTCATTGAACTGTACACTTGACAGACACATTGCACTGTATATACCTCAATAAAAAATTATACCTTAATTAAAAAAACTTCATACAACATTTACAAAAAGTGACCAGATACTGAGCTATGAAGCAAGTCTCCACAATTCTCAAAGTTATAATATACAGAGTATGTTATCTGACCACAAGGTAATTACGCCAGAAATCATGACAAAATGATAATGCAGAAAATCCCCACATGGCTTTTTTTTTTAAGATTTTTATTTATTTGAGAGAAAGACAGAGAGAGAGAGATCACAAGCAGCCAGGAGGGGTAGAGGAGAAGCAGGCTCCCCACTAAGCAGGAAGCCCAGCACAGGTCTCTTAATCCCAGGACCCTGGGATCATGACCTGAGCTGAAGGCAGACACTTAACCGACTGAGCCACCCACATGTTTTAATTTTTGAAATACACTTCTAAATAACCCACAGCTCAAAGAAGAAACCATACTGGAAATTATAAAATATTTTGAATTTCATGACAAGGAAAATACAATGTAATAAAATATAAAATGTAACCACTGAAGAGTAGAAATAGTGTAAATTAAGTCCAAACACGCAGAAAGGGGAAAAACGAAGGGGAAAAAAAATCCCACAAAATTATACGATCCCCTAAAGGTAGGAAACACAAAAAAAGCAAGACAAACAGTAATTTAAAAGATGATATTAATAGTACTAAATATATCAATAATCACAATAAATGCAATTGGTTGAACTCAGATTAGAATGCAAAAGTGTTCTATGCTATTTATTAGAGACACACCAAAAGCTCATGGAAAAGTTGAAAGCAGAAAATGATTTACCAAGAAATATTATCCCTAAACTGGTAAGGTAGCTTTACTGTTATCAGTCAAATTAGGCATTAATACTAAAACCATTACTAGGCAGAGTGGGTCACTACAAAGTAATAATTCTTCATAAAAATTTTATAATAAATACAATTCCAAATTTGAATATACTTAACATAAAAATTGGTAGGAGTACAGGGAGAAATGGAGCAATTCATCCCATGGAAGTGTGAGATTTCAACGCCACTATCATGCAAAGGATTTGGTATCACACAGACCACATTCTCCAGCCACGATGCAAGAAAATTAAAATTCAATATGCACATCAACATAATATCCGTATGCACAGAAGTTAAAATACAACCACTCATCTGAATAATTCATGATAAAAATTAAATCATGATGGACAAAAATGGATGAAAAGGTCATCACCATGGAAATTTTTAAAAACTTAGAACTGAGCAATAAAAATGTGACATATGAAAACTTGTGGGGGGCAGCAGATTTATAGCTTTGAATAATTAGATTAGAAAGAATGGGTGAGGGGCGCCTGGGTGGCTCAGTTGGTTAGGCGACTGCCTTCAGCTCAGGTCATGATCCCAGAGTCCTGGGATCGAGCCCCGCATCGGGCTCCCTGCTTGGCGGGAAGGCTGCTTCTCCCTCTCCCACTTCGCTTGCTTGTGTTCCCTCTCACACTGTCTCTCTCTCTCTCTCTCTGTGTCAATTAAATAAATAAATGAAATCTTAAAAAAAAAAAAAGAAAAGAAAGAATGGGTGAATATAAAGGAGCCAAGGTGTTAGACAAAAAAATAGCCAATAAGCCTAACACAAAGGAGACTGAGGTGGGGAGACCTCCAGAAATGAAGAGCAGGTGCTAGTTGGAGGTGAGAGCAGCCTGGGGCTCTGGGTCCGAACTCACTCTCAGAGTGCCTTTCCCCAACCCATGCTCTAAACACCCTGATGGGGGTCCAGGAGGTGGGTGGGCTGGGGGGTTGTGGACTGGAAGAGAGCAGCATTCTGACCCCCCAAGGCATGTGTCCACCAGTTGTAGGGGTGGGGGAGCCTGTGGAGAGGAACCTGTAAGCCTCCCCGTGGCTCCAGGAAGCAGTGGCAGATTGGAACCCAGCCCAGCCCAGATCAGCCAGGTGAGTGAGTGACAGGCTGGTCTGTGTCCTGCCCTCTGGCCCCCACCTCACCTTCTGGGTCTCTGACGTCTCTGTCTCTCCATCTGTGATTCTGAGTCTGTATCTCTGGCTTGGTAATTTCTCTCTCTTTCTGTCTTTGCTGTCTCTGTATCCTCCAGATGCAGCATCCATCGGCTCTCCTGTCCTGCTCTCTGTCTCCATCACCTGATTTGTCCCAGCTCTGACACTCTTGCCTTACCTTTCTCTTTTTTAAGATTTTATTCGCTTATTTGTCAGAGAGAGAGAGAGCACAAGCAGGGGGAGCGGCAGACAGAGAGAGAAGTAGACTCCCTACTGAGCAAGAAGCCCTATGTGGGACTCCATCCCAGGACGCTGGGATCACGACACCCTGAGCCGAAGGCAGACCGACTCCACCGCCCAGGCCGCTCGCCTTATCTTTTCGTCCCTTTCTCTCTGAATCCCATGTTTCTGAACCTCACTGTGTGTTTCTCTTTCTTTGATTTGTGCACGCCATCTTCCCTGTTCCTAATTGTTGCTGACACTCTCTGTTTTCCTCCCGGCTGTCTCGCATTCCTGTCTCTGTGTCTCGAGGCTTCGCGTCTCAGGGCTAAAGACTCAGGGCCCAGGATGAGGTGCCCTTCCTACTGCCCTTCCCCACCCAGAGATCTCTTGGGAGACAGCGGAAGAACAGAGTGAGGTGGGGGGTGGACAGACCTGAGCTAACGGCCTCACACTCACCTGAGTACTCGGTGGAGCCTGAGACTTCCCCCACGACTCTTGCATGGGCAGAGAGGCCCCATGTTGGGGAGGGAAGGAGTGATGTCACCTCTCCCAAATAGCTTTCTCTGACTGGATACTCCTCCACAAGGCCCATGAGCAGAGAAGGGCAAGGTCAGTTCTGAGATTAGAATGACCCACTGTGGCAGGACAGAGATGAGGTAGAGGGAGAGAATGAGAGCCAGAGGCCCGTGAAGAAGGAGGGTCCAGGTCTGAACAAGGACAAACCTGGGTTGAGCTAGGCAACAGACAGGAGGGGACAGTAGGTGAGTCGGTGGGGGGTGGGCAGGAGGGGCCAGGCTTGGGGTTGGATGGGTTGGGGGAGGGGAAGTTAGGAGTGGGAGACCTACAGACCCAAGGGTGGAGGAGGACTGGGCTTGGGAAGAACAGTGGGCTCAAATGGGCCTTGGGGAGGTGAAAGGCTGGGGTGCCCACCTGCGTGTTGTGTGTGTAGGATATTGTGAGTGTAGACGTCTCCTTGAATCTGCTCAGCTGAGAGACTACAGCCAAAATTCAGATCATTCTAAGTCTTGTCTGCCCCTCTCTTCACTCCCAGTCGCTCAGCAAACCCTGTGGGCTCCCTTTAGAGGTATCAGAAGTGGACCCCTTTGCCCTTCCTGACTTCACCTTGGCCACCCCTGTCCTCACTCCACACCAGGCCCTCCCCGCCCCCCGTCACCCTTGTGGTCTGACCCCACACAGATGCCTGAGGGACCTGTGAACACCCAACTCAGGCCCCATTCTGCTCTGCTCAGCATTGCCCACAGCCCCCCGGGTCCCTCAGAGGAGCCCCCAGGTGAGGCCCCACAGGATGGGCCCCTTTCTTCCCTCTGGTGTCACCTCCCGCCCTCTCCCTGGCTCACTGGGCTCCATCCACACTGGCCTCGCTGACCCTCACACACACCAGGCCCACTTCCCCCGGGGCCTCTGCACCTGCTCTTCCTCTGCTCTTTCCCCACGTTCCGCTGGGCTCAGCCTCACCTGCTGCAGGTGTCCGCTCAATCCCACCTCCCCCCTGCCTTCTCCCTCAGCACACCGGCTATCTCCCCCGGCTCCACAATGTCTCCTTCTGCCCCACAGCACCAGCACCTCCTAACATGCACTGTCACTTCTGTGTCACGTTCACTGTTTCTGTCTGTGTCCCCTCACACAGTGGGGGGGGCTTCATGAGGGGGGACTTCTGTCTGGTCACTGCTGTCTTCCCAGGGGCTATGTTGGTGTTGGGCACGCAGTAGATGCTCAGTAAGTACGTGCTGCCTGGAGGAAGGGATGAATTGTGACGTGGAAGACTGAGGTGCAGGTGGTGCCTGGATGGGGGTGTGGGATAGGGCAAGGCCTGAGGCCCTGGGGGGCAGGGCTACAGCTGGGCAGCGGGACTGATGCCTGGTTAACCCTCGCACCCCCGGCCTGAATCTGGGTCCCCTCCAGATGGAGGCCAGGTGGATGAGGGGGAGAGGTAGGCTCACCGGGCACGTGTCCCTGTTGCCCTCCAAAGGCCCAGTGCCCAACATGTGATCTGTCACCTTCTGGGAATGGGCCTTGGCACATACATGATTGGACAGGAGTTTGAGATGTATGTGACTAGGACTAAGAGGAGAAAAAGGCTGTGGCCAGACCCCAGGTGCCTCCTCAGTCTTCCTCCCTCAGGCCCTGAGTCCGGTCCCCAGCCCCTCCTCCCTACACCCAAATGTCTGAGCTCCAGGCTGCACGGTCTGGCCCCTGGCGTGCATTTACCTGGTTCAGGGCTGCCCCAGCCAGAGACATAGCAGGTGCTCCCCATTTGGGGTTCCTGGGTGGGCAGGTCCAGGACCCTCACAGCATCTGTAATCTGGGCAGGCTCTGCCAGGCGCAGCAGGATGAGGTCATGGCTATAGTCCTCTCCGGGGAGCTGGGTATGGTTCTTTAGGAGGTTCGGCTTGAATTCAGGGTGTGGGAAGCTATGACTGACCTGGACAAACTGGGCTGTGTCTTCATGCTCGAACAGGTTGTGGCGACCCAGCCAGAGCTGGTAATTGCTGGGGAAAGAGGGGGCCCCAGGGAATGAGGAGAGAGGAGGGGGAAAGGGAGATGGGGCCAGGGAGCATCCTGAAGACAGAAAGAAACAAGGAGTAACCTTGGAGGGAGAGAGAGAGAGAGAGAGCCTACAGGAAGGAATTAGTCATGGAAAAATAGAGACCTTGGGAAAACAAAAGATTGTGACAGCATGAAAGGCAGATCCAGAGACAAAGAGAAGCAGTGAAAAGGAGAGAGCTTGAAACAGAAGGAACAAGGCAGAGGGTAGAACAGGGAGCCAGAATGAGCTCAAAGGGGACAGGAGAGGAAGCGAAAAGGCAGCGACCCTGAGAAAAGGTCCATGGAAAGAAGCAAGAACAGACAAGAAGAAGGAGCAACAGGTTCAATGAGACAGGGAGAGGAAGCAAGGGGAGAGGGTGAGATACAGATGGTGGGGGGCAGCCTGAGAGAAAACAGGGAGGGAGGACCCCGAGGGGCTGGGAGGGGGCCTGGGGTCAGCTCAGCTGCAGCTGGGGCCGTGGGGTTGGCTCCCCAGCAGCGGGTGGGCTGGCCCGCAGCCCAAGTTTGGCATCCCCCTCCCTCCCACGACCTCCTCCACCTCCTCCCTCTCCCTTCCTCCACCACCCCCTTCATCCCCAGACTCTCTCCTCTTCCCATCCTCCACCCTCCCCTTACTACTCCTCCCCCTCTTCCTTACTCCCCCTCCTCCTCCTCTCTCACCTCCTTCCTCCAGCGCCCCCACCAGGCTCCAGCTGAAACCAGCCCTTCCCTGTGTCCCTGCAGAGCATCATTGTCCTGGAGGGAGGGGCTGGGCACATGAGAAGCCCCCCCCCCCACACACACATGTCAGGACAATCCCTTCCTTTTCTCTGGGGGTCCCCCTCAGTCCCATCCTGGGGGTGCTCAGCTGCGATGGGGGAGAGGAAGTGAAGCAGAGACCCAGAGAGAGAGAGAGATGGGGCAGAGAGATGGAGGGTGAGACCTACAGTGACAGGGAGGCAGCAGAGGGACCCAGAGGTAGACAGACACAGGGAGACACACAGAGACACCGAGACCAAACAGAGAGAGAGAGACAGGGATAAATCATACTCAGATAGACAGACACATAACAGAGCCAGTTACTGAGAGACACAGAGACACAGTTACAGGGAGACACAGGAAGACACAGGCTGCCATGGGAGGGCTTCCCTGGGGTTGTCCCTGCCACTCTCCATGGGACCCAGACCAGTACCATCTTTGTTTCCCTCAGTCCCCCAGCCTCCCCTGAGGTGAACCCAGGGTCGGTGCCCAGTTGTTTATTCCTGTGGGAGCACAAACACCCCCTCCCCAGACCCACTTGTGTGAGCAGTGGGCAGCTGTGAGCACCCACTGTGGGTGCACCAGGACTCCCCCACACCTGACACCGCTGAAATTGTACACAAGCGACAGCCAGGGTTGGAAATTCTTACACTCCGAGCCTCTGCTGATTGGGGACTGGATGGGAGGCACAGCACCTGCAGAGGGGTGCTGGGTCAGGGCAGGTGGGAGGTAGCAATGGGGCTGGGAGGACCTAGGCTAGGAGAGGTACATGGGCGCAGAAGAGCAGGGCTGGGCATCTGCGGAGATGGGCAAACGGTACGGAAAGAGTCTGTAATTCTCCTGCAGTCTCTTAATTGGGTTTAGATGGGTCCTGCCTGGGGAGACACTCTGCTGAAATAGACCCCACCGCAGGAATCAGGTAGGAGAGAACAAGGCAGCATCTGGAGCAACTTGTGGTGTGGATACCGGTGTCCTGCAGCGATTTGGAGTTCCTGGACGGGGGGACAACTGGCTTTGGTGGAGGTGTTGGCTCAGAGAAGAGGAAGGGTTGTAGAAACAAGTGTTAAGGACTTCAAAGGAGAGGGTCATTGACTGAAAGGAAAGAATTTGGGGGCCTTTAAGGGGTCTCGGACTTAGATATCTTCTATGCCTGAGGTGGCATTTGAGGTTCTGAGAAGGTTTCAGTGTTTAGGGGATGGGGCTGAGAGATGACAGCTGGATGGGAAAGGTCACCTGAGGGCTCAGGAGCCAGAGCACTGGACCCTGGAGAACTAGGAGGCAGGACAGGAGGTTCAGGGTCCCCGGATCCAGTGAGGAGGGGACGCTGCTTGGAAGAGTTGGGGAACCCCAAAGAGAGAGACAGAGATGGCCCCAGGCTGTGTCTGTCTGGAAACTGCCTGGGGGTCACTGGGAAGAAGCAGGTACCTACTGTGGCAGTGACGACTGTGAGGAAGATGGCAGGGTGAAGAGCTAAAGAAGGTTTTGTGGTGGGGGTGGGAGAGGTAGGAAGAGACTGGGTACCCTGCCCGGGCTGGATTGCGGCCTGGAGGAATAGGGCTGCACAGATGGGGAGAAGGGATGGCCTTGTAGAGGTGGCAGGGTCAGAGCACCATGGGAGTCAGGGTCCCTCTCCCTCTCTCAGATCCACTCTACTCACCAGTCCACCCCAGGGACATTGCCAGGCACAGGACCAGGAACCACATGGTGACAGAGTGTCCAGGAGCTGGCACACTGTGAACTAGGAGCTGGGGAGCAACCCTGGGGAGCCTTTAAAGCCTACACCCCCCACGGCCATGCCCCTGATCTGCTGCCACCAAGAAGCTGGCCAAGGCCTGGTCCTGCTTCTGGATGTGGACAGCCCCCAACCCCCACCCCAGGGCTATGGGAGGGATGGAAGAGCAAGCACCTGTTGTTCTTAGGCCCTTAATCATGCTGGATATATTCCGGGGTCTGAGGCCAAATGGGCCAGGGCCTACAGCTCTGTTGCCTTGCTCTTGGTGACACAGGCAGTGAGGGGAAGCCCAAGAATGACAGAATCAACAGCTCTGGAGAATCAGGACGCCTATTACAAAGCCTCCAATGCCTACACTCCAAGAGAGATTTCACACCCCAAAGCCCATCGGACCCTCAAATACATGCACTATGTCCCTGAAGCTCTCTGATCTCTGCACCTCCCTAAGCCAAGATGCCTGTCCCCCAACTTCCAACATCCCTGAAATATGTGAGCTTGGCTTTCAGAACTCCGAGATTCCTGTATTTCCAGATGCAGGAATGAGTTCCCCTACTATAAAGTTCCCATCAAAATGAATTCTTGCGGTGCCAGAACTCCACAAGCACAGCACTAGTGGACCCAGAGATATGAAATTCCAAAGGCATCCTGGAGCGAGTCTCCTAGCATCCCCAAATCCAATGTTCTCCAAAAATGCAGGGGTCCTGACATAGAGCCTCTCCCAACTCCTCATTCCTCAACCAGGGCATGTGATGACCCAAGACACCCAGATGACCTGCCCTTCCAGGTCAAGAGAATCCTCAACAAATCCAGTGGTCCCACTCCAATGAACATTTAGATCTCGGGGGCCTCGCTAATGCACCTCAGGATTAAGTGGCATTGAGTATCACGTTTTGGACTCCCAGAAGAGATTCAAGAACTAGAGCTTTCGGGCCTCCAGTGTTGACCCACAACGTGTCCTACATGCTGTAGACAGAATGTCTGTGTTCCCCCCAAATTCATATGTTGAACTCTTCTCCCCAGTGTGATGGTTTGGGGGGTGGGGCCTTTGGGAAGTGCTTATGTCACAAAGATGGAGCTCTCATGAATGGAAGGAGTGCACTTAAAAGGGATCCCTTGCCCCTTCTGCCATGTTAAGACACAGAGAGAAAAAAACCATCTATGAGCCAGGAAGGGGGCTCTCACCTGTGGAGACATGTGGGTCCAGCCCCTCTCATGTCAAGCACTTGATCAAATCTTTCCCCTCTCTGAGCTGAGCAACATGAGAAGCTCCCAACATAGGAAGTGAGAGAAGTGGTCACAGACACTCACAGTGAAGACCATAAAGACTGGGGTACAAGAATACATTCAGTCAGTGATCTGACCTCCCCCACACACAGATCAGTGTCACCCTGTGGGAGAAATGTGCCTCAGCGTGAGAGAGGAACCCCTGGATACAGTGCCCAATCCCCATTCTAATCCCCATACACAACCTCAACCAAAACCCAGTACAACCCAACCCAACCAACCCAAACCCCAACCCCACGCATGTCCAACCCAAGGCATTCAGGTGTGGACCCAGTGGATCAGACTCCAGTACAACACCTGGACATAGAGCTGGGCACTGAAGCTGACAGAGACATGGCTGGAGATCCAGGCTTCAGGACAGGACATATTTATCCATCTCTACATCAGTCCCCAAGTCAGATGCTTGATGTTCAAGGTCTCTCACTGCATTTCACATATGATGACAAGGTTCACAAGTGCAGGCAAATAGGAGACAGGTAAGGCCTTGCACACTTGGCCCCCCACACACACACATACACACACACAGACAGGAGCCAACACTAGGGCAGGATTTGACACAGATCCCACAGATCAAATGACCACACTCTTCCCACTATTGCTGGGAATTGGGCTGGAACTCTGGTGAGCAGAGGGCATGCAGTTGTGGTGGAGGAAGAGCATGAGGAAAACTGAGTGATGTTACCTTTCCCTTTCTTGGGGGGAAAGGTAGAGGGTGAGTCTGGACTCATGTTGTTAGAAATTCTCCATGGGCATGTCACATGTCTTCAGAGCAAAGGACTTGATACATTTTTTACTCTGGACTGTCTTCCAAGATGTTTGTCTATCATGCAGCCTTTCAAGATGGTATCTCCCTCAGAGAAAGTTTGTTTACTGTCCATGATTTAATAAAAGATAGTATTTGTTTACTGCCAAGGACAATAAAAATTATATGTCCCTCCAGAGCAATTTTGTTTGCAATCCAGAATTATAAAGATCATATCTCAGCCAGAGACTAACTTTGGGCAAACTTGCCAGCAGCCCCCTTATAAGATTAAAGATTCCTAAGCTCAGATCCTCAGCTATGGCACAAACCGCTGTGTGCACAGAATCCATCTCTGCTCCTCTGATCACCCCCAGAGACCTTGGGGAGCCAGGTGAACTGGTGTGGCTATAAAACCTATGCTGCCTGCTCTGCCATGAGTAGTAAAATCCTGCCTCTGACCCAGGATCTGGTGTGTTCTGCCAGTACCCATGAAACTGGCCAGCTAACATTTGTTTGCAAGGTGGTAAAATCTTAGACTCTTCAGAGTTCTTGACAAATAGCTAGGCACTGAGGCAACACCTGGCCAGATGGAGCTGAGAGTGGGCAGGGGACCCGCTGGGTTCAGCCACATGGTGGAGGACAGACCAGAACTGAGCTGAAGCCTAGGGGAGAGGTGTAAGCAGTGGAGACGCTGGATCCTTCTCCCCCATGGATCCCTCCAGACACAAAGTCACCCCACCTACTCCTTGAGAAACTTCCTTTTACCACTCATGTCCCTCCCCCTGCCCAACACACTCTTCCTCTTGGGCTCTCCCTCTGGGGAGAATATACTGTTCCCTGAGGCACCAGGACTGACCCCAGGTGCCTCACAGCCTTTCAGACACGAGCCACTGCATACTTGCTCCCTGGATCTTCTCCATCCCCTAGACCCTGGCTCAGACCACATCTCTATTTGGACCATCTCCACATCATCCTCCCTCTCTTCAGGGACTTCCCATATATCTCCTTTCAAACTGCCAGATGCTCTTCTTTCCCAATCATGCCTTCATTTTAACAGCAGACACCAGCATGTCTGGAAACTCATTTTGCATTGTAATTCAGCCACTCAGAGTGTAAGACTCTAGGTTTGGATTTCAGAAATCTCAGTTCTGTGGCTATAAAAGGTAAATGGTTCTTTCAGGACAGACATAGAATGGTGAAGACCACCAGGAGCAGTTTGTTGGCAGTTCCTAAAGCCAGAAATACACTATACACCAGAAATACATCTTACCTCAGGGATATATGAACTCTCCACTCTTTTTTTTTTTTTTTTTAGATTTTTTTTTCTTAGAGAGAGTGCTCATGAGCAGTGGGGCTCTGAGGGTCTAGGCTAAAAGTTCGAGCTGTGCTGTGGAGTTGGAAGGACATGGGGGCACAGGAGCACAGCTCTGGGTCTGGAGAGATGGACAAGCAGTTTGGGAAGGTTCTGGAATTCTGGAGCCATCCCTGGGGTTGTAGATTGGTGGCAGAGACTGGGTGGGGAGACTATGTTGAGAGTAGAGCCAACCACAGGGATCAGGCAGGAGACAAGAAGGCAGCATCTGCAGTAGCATGTGGTGCGGGGGCCAGGTGATTTGAGGAATCACACTGGGGGAAGAGGCTGTGTGGTCTGGGATGTTAAGAGTTTCCAGAACCCCAGCATAAGGATCCCAGAGGGACAGAGGCTGAGAGAGAGAAGTTTTAGTGAGTCCCATGCTGGAGAACCTTCTTAGACCTGTGGTGAGCTTTTGAGGTTGTAAAACATCACTGATTTAGGTAATAGTTCTGGTGGGCTAAGTAGAGCATCTTGGATGGGTTTAGGGTGTTTGGGAGTGAGGGATCCCAGAACTGTGGCTGGAAGCTTTCAGTTTGGCTGAGAGTTGGGAGAACTGGATATTTCCCTGTCACACGGTGACAGAAAGGATGAAGGCCAATGCTAGAAGTGGTCTCTTATGAGCTGTTGGCATTTGAAGAAAGTGGGAGGTCCAGGAACAAGGTTGGGGTCATGGTGGAATGCAAGCAGGGAGAGAGGGGTGAGTGATAGTCATCCTGGGGTGGGGTAAGGGATGGCTCTTTCTGTCTGAAGAGCATGGAAATCATGGTGTGAGGTAACAAGGGGACTTTGGATTCTCTTAGGTGTGGTCTCAGAACCAGAAGGGAAAAGGCAGCAAAGCACTTGAAGGTTCATCTGACCACCCAAATCAGGAGTATCCCCATGCAAAATCCAGTACTTCCTGCAATGGACTATGTAGGTCTCAGGAGGTAGATTCATGCATCTCAAGGTTCATCTTTGGGGGTCTCAGAGGAGAAAGAGAATGGTTTTCTAGGTTTCCACCATTTTGATTACCAAGGCTGTTCTGAAAAATCAGAGCAACTCATGATGGTCCAGCCTGAGATATGTGTTATAAACTTGATAAGAAATCCTCCTCCTTTCCTATTTGAGTAACTAAAGAAGCTCTTGGTGTATTGAGGGGCACCTGGCTGGGACAGTTGGTAGAGCATGGAACTCTTGATCTCATGGTGGTGGGGTAGGTGAGTTCGAGCCCCACATTGGGGATAGAGTTTACTTTTAAAAAATAATGAAATGTCCTCTTTTAAAAAATAAAATAAGTAAGTAGACATTGTACAACTGAAACGAAAATTACAGTAATTTTTAAAAAGTGGGCAGAGGTAAACCCATTTTAAGATCATAAGAACTGGAGTAGAGGAATATAGTCAGTCAGGGGCCAGAAAACCCACATGCAGATCGGGGGTCCCCCAAGTCACCCTGTGGAGAGACCTTCTGGATCCAGCACCCCATCTCCATCCTGACCCTCATCTACAACCCCCCCCAAAATACCACCTGACCCACCCAACTCAATCCTAACCCAACCCCATACAACCCCAACTCACTAATTTCAAACCAAACCAATTTCTGGACAATGGCCCTTCCACAATGGAGCCTTGGAGTCTAGGATTCCTGGAGAGATGACATCCAACCTTGCTCATCCATCTTTCCACCATGGCTCCCTGTGGTCTTGGGCTCCTTATCAGACACCAGGGCTCAGCCAGATGCCACCCAGACCCCACCCACAAGGGGGCAGGCGTGGGCAGCACTCTGGGTAGTGCAAGTGGTGGGTGAAGTCACACAGGTGGGGCTAGTTTCAACAACATGACCTCATGGT